TTTTAGTTTGGCGCCAAGGTCGTGGTGACCGGTCGCAACTCTGACCGCCTGAAGGACACCGCCAAGGCCTGCAAGTGCCTCTCGCCGAAGGGCTACGAGGCCCTGGTGGTGGTGGCCGATCTGACCAGCGCCGACGACGTGAAGCGCATCGTCACCGAGACGATCACCCAGTTCGGCCAGCTGGACGTGGTGGTGGCCAATGCGGGCATCTTCTCCTCCTCTCTGATCGACAATCCCCGGCTGCTGAACATCTTCGATGACACCATGCTGACCAATGTCCGCCCGGTGCTGCGACTGCTGCAGCTTGCCGTGCCCTACCTGGAGAAGACCAAGGGCGCCATTGTGGTCACCTCGTCGATGCTCTCCTTCAAGCCGGTAAGTAGTTAAGAGACTGAGTAGTTTAATGAAATTCTTAACCAATTTTTTTACTAGATTTCCATCTACATGCCCTACTGCATGAGGTAATTGCTGACCGTTTAAAAAGGGGTGTGGCAGAGTACTTCATTTTTATCCTTTTATTCACAGCAAAGCCGCCCTGGACATCATGGTGAAGTGCCTGGCTCTGGACCTTGGCCCGAAGGGAATCCGAGTCAATTCGTAAGTTGATTCAGAAATGATTAAAATTTTCAACTAACTTATTTTCAAATTTAGCATCAACCCGGCCATCATTGCCGACGACTTTATTGCCAAGTCACTGGGTCTTGACCCGAAGGTGATGAGCCCTGAGCTGGAGAAGGCTGGCAAGAGCTACCCGCTTGGACGTTTGGGCACCACTGAAGATATGGCCAACCTCATTCTGTTTCTGTCCAGCAAGGATTCTGCTTTTCTCACCGGACAGAATATTTGCGCCGATGGCGGAAGCACTTGGGGCGGAGACTCACAGGTTTGGCCATGCCCACTTTTTACACCCACTCCCGATTCTGGATTCCAAAAAGAGGAGTGACATAATTACTTTTTCTAACTATTTTTTTATTTTTTATACAGGTGAACTAAGTGACTCGTTAAAACTGCCGGTCTTATGGTCAAACACTTCCTGGAGAAGCAGATTCCATCATCTAAATTCAAATGCACAAGTGCATTGATGTACTCCCAATCAGTAGTCGCCTTATAACACACAGTCCAGTTAGCACTGATTCAATAAAGTCACTGCAAAAAGCGCTGTCTGTCTGCTTATCTTATCGTAAACTATTGACAATGAACAATAGATTGCCTTCTGTCAATTGAAATAGGGGTGTTACCAGTCAACCCAATCAACAGGTGGTGGCACAAACATGAGGCTGCCCTCGTGGTCTGTTTAGAAATGCTGATCAGCCATTATGAGCACATCAAACTGTTCCAATCACCCATCGACGGTCATCCTCGACCTGCTCGGTCAGCTAGCTCAGTATGAATACGTTCGAGGCGGCCTCTACCTCCTCTCAATGCTGTACATCTTCCTGGGCATTGCACTGGTGGCGGACATCTTTATGAGCGGTGTAGAGAGGATAACCAACCGGCGAAAAGTGGTGAGGCGGTTCAACGCTGAGAAGCAGCAGTTTGAACAGGTGAGAGTTCGAGTGTGGAACCAGACGGTGGCCAATCTGACGCTGATGGCATTTGGCTCCAGCGCGCCGGAAATCCTCCTGGCGACGATTGAGATTGTCAAGGACAGGTAAGAACAGGTACTGCTTTTGGTGAAAACCTAAAATCTCAACGACATTTTTTTCACCAGATTCGAAGCCGACGAGCTGGGCCCGGGAACGGTGGTCGGTGCCTCCGCCTTCAACTCCTTCGTCATCACCGCCTTCTGCGTGGTCAGTCTGCCCGCCGGTCAGGTGAAGTCAATTAGAAAGCTGAAGGTCTTCTGGACGACCACCGCCTTCAGTCTGGCCGCCTACGCCTGGCTCTACCTGATGCTCAACGTCCTCTCGCCAAATGTGGTCACCATTTGGGAGGCGGCGGTGACGCTGCTGCTCTTTCCCGCCATGGTCGCCAGTGGCTACCTGGCGGAGAAGAGTCTATTTTTAGGCGGCCACAACAAAGACAACAGAAACGGTGAAGAAGAAGGAGACAGCGTCGTGGTGGTTGACGAAGGAGATGATCTGATAACAACTGCAGAAGATGACGGTCACAAGAAGAAGTGGTCGGCGCAGATCACCGAAGCATTTAAGGTGGACGACGACGAGCACAAGAGCCTAAATCTATGTTCTCACTTTTTCACCTTCTTCTGGAAGGTGGTCTTCTCGGTCACCATTCCACCTGCTTACCTACTCGGTGGATGGCCCACCCTGCTCTGCTCCATCCTCTGGATCGCCCTGCTCACCGGTCTGATGGGCGACCTGGCCTCCTCCTTTGGTTGTGCCCTTCGCTGGGACATGCACACCACCTCGATCACCGTGGTGGCAGTGGGCACCTCATTGCCAGATTTATTTGCTTCAAGGGTAGCTGCCAAGAAGGAGCGATTCGCCGATGACGCCATTGGGAACATCAACGGCAGCAATGCCTACAACATCTTCTTCGGACTGGGCTTTCCCTGGCTCTGTGCAGCGGTCTACCACCGGTGGCAAGGGACGACCTTTCAGGTGGGTCAGCTGGATGACCTCTCCTTCTCGGTGCGGCTCTTCATGATCTTCTCGGCGCTGCAGCTGCTGCTGATGACCGCTCGGCGAAAGTGTCGTCGAGTTGGTGGTGAGCTGGGCGGACCGAGACTGCTCGCCTGGCTGTCCTTTGCCGCGCTCATCGCCCTCTGGCTGCTCTACATTGTCCTCTCCATTGTTCGCTGAGCGGTAA